GTGCAGCAAAACAACAGCAATACACAACTGAAAAGTGGCCAGATAGTACAAGGTTCCTGATCTTCATAAATGATCTCACGAGCGTGCTATCTTCTAACTGTTTGCTATTTGCTGATGACCTAAAGGTATGGCGCACTATAGCTGCAGTGGAGGATCACACAGTGTTACAGGAGGATCTGGATAAAGCGTACACATGGTCCACCGAGAATATGCTGCATTTCAACGTCAACAAGTTCAAAGTTCTCAGTATACGGCACAAGAGTATGCACAAGTACCGCCTAGGACCACAAATTCTACAGCGGGTTTCTCACGAGTGCGATCGCGGCGTGATAGTTCAAGATGACCTCGGTTGTATGAGGCAGACTGCAAAGGTAGCTAAGAAAGCAAACCAGTATCTTGGTCTTCATTGCAGAGCTTTCGGGAAGTTTGATCCTTCAGTCTTTCCAAAAATGCTTAGTGCGTACGTGAGGCTGCACGCGGAATACGCTATTCCAGCGTGGCAATCCTGGCTCAAGCACCATCTCACCGCGCTCGATACTACACAACGTAGGGCAACGAAGAACGCCAGAGGTTTGACCAGCGTCCACTTAGGCTGAAGACCCTCAAAATATACAGTGGATGTTATCGTCATCTAAGAGGCGATCTCATAATGGTGTACCAGATCCTGATAAACCCCAACCACCCATGCCATTCCCTTCTAATGCTCAGTCAAAACACCTCGCTAAGAGGTCACCAGTTTAAGCTGGTCACACAGTGCAGCCGCCTGGAATGTCGGTGAAACTATTTCTCCCTTCGAGTGTCACAGCCTTGGAATGCCATCCCGAAACATGTAATTAATGCACGCACCCTATCACTTTTCAAAAAACGCCTTGACGATACTCTGTCACATTTACACCATGTGCTATGACACATGACCACCAGATGCTGGCACTAATGCGCAACAGACAGTGGATCGTGCCATAACCCTACTCGAGAATGAGTCACTCCAAACCCCTTACATAAAATTTGATAAACGCTACTACTATAGAAACTGAATTTCTGTATGCTGTGGACCCGAGATAGTTGCACACGGGTAATCGTTGTCCTTGCTCTTTTTTATTTTTTTCTCTCGCCTATTGCGTGATCTATAACCATTCCCGTTATTGCCTTGTGTGCGTACATTCTTATTTCAAACTCCCTTTATAAGACAGTGCAGTTACATGTGTAATCGCCGGAACTGATGACTCCATTAGCCCTTAATCTATCATTCCTCACTCAAAACACCCTACGGGACATGTCAAGCCCCTGCTTTTTTACCCGTTATAAATCATTGTTCATTGTTCCTTCGATTAAAACTTCGTCAAGGTCCTCAAGCGAGATGGTTTTGCGTTTCAGTACCTGAAGCAACTGTTTCGAAAGATCAGTGATGCGAGGCTCAAAGAACGGAATCTTATTGGGCCGGATAATGGCAGACAGTGCTTTCGAATGCCATTGGACTTCATTTGAGTTAGAAGCGTGACGGTCATTCAAGGCAGTGTGTACAGGACTTTTTGACAGAACACAGACAAAGTACAAAAGTTTCACAAATAAGCTCATTATGGACTATCGGGCTGTTGGTGCTCCAGTGAATCTCAAGGAGCACTGTCTGCAAATCACCTTGACGTTTCCCTGAGAACTTGGGATTTGTTAGCGATGAGCATGTTGAGCACTTTCACCAAGACATTTCAGTCATGGAGTAGCGCTACCGTGGCAAGTACACACCTTCTATGATGCGTGGCTTTTGCTGGTTTCTGCAGCGTGAGGACACTGGATAATACATGCGGCGATCTCAGCGAAGTCATCATTTCCCAGTGCCAAGCTGCAGTCAGTTGTTAGCCGCGAGTGTTGCTGTGAGGTTTTAAGCCACTGTGCAACATAGATGCATTCCATGTGTTGTAATTCAGTCTATTTACATAAAAATCGTACTACGTAGCCTTGACATTATGAAAATCATTATTTGCTTATAACAACCTGACGTACTAGGTAACATTGGAATACATTTTTAAGATCAGTGGAGTGTATTCTATAAGATAGAAGCATTGACATTTCTGCTACGGAAAATAAACCTTTTGCACAGTGTAATTAGTCAATGACTAGGTAGTTAGTTACATGATTTGATCTAGATGATTTTGTTTTCTGTTTTGTTTGGCGACAGACTGCAGACCCAATCCTCGTACCCATATTACCCTTTAGGTGTTACATTAGCTCCGGACTTCAAATCTAGCGAGAACTGGAAACGAGAGACTAGAAAGGGATTCCGAACCCTCTGGATGATTCGTAGATCATTGGGTGTGCTGACAGAAGAAATGTTTATTAAACTGTTTACGGCTTTTGTTGGACCGCACCTGGAGTACTGCGTCGGGGCATGTCCTTGTCTAACTGGTGACAGGATGGCGGTAGAGTGGGTCTTGTGGACCGGTACCAAAATGGTACGATGGTTGCGGCACCTGTCCTATCCTGACAGACTGCTCAAGCTAAGAATTTTCCCACTACATTATCGCCATCTTCGTGGTGATTTAGTACTCATTTATGGTATACTTACAGGGCGGATCGACCCAGACCTGTTCTGGCTTTTTCATCCTGCTCTGTGATCTACTCTTCGTGGGCATCTGTTGAAGTTGCACAAATTCCGATCTGACACTCGATTGTCGCGTAGAGTGATAGATTCCTGGAATGCGGTACCCAAGGACATCATATTGTCATTCACGGTGACAGAGTTTAAATGTCGCCTTGATGCCCTCAAGTTGCAGCTCCGCATCTCCCGTTCCCCCATTAATTTCTGATTGCACTTCAGTTCTTTCCCTTCTTAATTACCCGTTCTAAATTCCCCTGCAAATTTCGTACCTCCCACTTTATATCTAGACTGCAATTTTACTCTTCCTTTTCTTATTGCACATGGCTGGTGCAGCGGGGTCTGCTAGCCCAGACTGCGTGGGTCTTGATTGGTTGACCGCAACGTGTTCTTCACGTGCTAATTTGGTTCATACCACTGGCCAATCGTACACCGAACTCGAACGTGAATCAAAGATGCATTCAGGATAGAACGACCATGGGAATCTACTTTTATTCCTACCCCATTTGAATTTGAATTTAAACTTCCGTTACCGGTGGCACAGCTGGTGTGCCTCTGTTGCCTGCTTTTCCTCTTCTTTTTACGTATTGGGGTACAATAGCTGAGGTGTTTTCCACCTCTAGTTACCTTGAGAAAAACGACAGCAAATGGGTTCAGTCAGGACGCGATGGTCAATAGCCGTGGAAGAAAGTTCTTGTGGGTGTGAAGATCTGTGCAATGTCATAAGAAATTAATGTTGGAAGAAAACGCTCAGAAGAAATCACTTGCGGTTGAGACGACACCGGTGACAACAATGTGGATTGGCAGTGGAGCACCCTATAGTGTGGGGCGAGGAGACCACTGAGGCAGATAAAGCGAAGGGGACGCGGCGTGACAATGTGTACGAAGCGCCTAACAATATGGAGGCGCAAGGACAAGGAAAAAGGGGCGTGTGTGATGTCTGTCCTGCCAGAGTGAACTGATGGATCAACCGAGCGAGCGAGTCCACCAATGTGAGACACACGTAACGGATTCGATCACTGAACAAGGATTGGCCGAAATTCATATGGGTTACCTGCCGTTTGTTTAACTGAGCCAAAGGAAATATCCCATCAGCTCATAAGGGCCTTAATTTATGGATATGAACTGACAAGTCATGTTGTGGAGTTTGGCTTGCCAAACGTGCTTTGATTTTCACCGCGTTGACTTTAACGAATAAACGCTTGTCTCTGCAGGAGTGAGTTTTTTGCAGCATGGTCTTCAACGTCACCAGTAACACTAAGGCTTAAAACAGCTTGGTTCCAAAATATGTCAGGTAAATTTAACCGATATACATGAAGAGCGCGGGTTCTTGATATTTCGTTAGGTACACTTGGCCCATCAGGTCGACAGACAAAAAGAGGCTAGTCACGTCCGACCATCGCTGCCTTCACAGCTTAGCTCATGTTTCGTGGGAGCACCGCGTGAGCAATGAGCGTATTCGGCGTCGAGTATTTGCCGCAAGAGGAGGTAGTGAACCGCTCAGCACCATTAGATCACGCACCAGACTCCGATGGCTGGGCTATGTGTTGCGCATGCCAGCCCACCGACTCCCACGGCGTGCATTGTTTGCGCGCCGGGGGTGCGGTTGGAAGTGGCTTTAAGGAGGCTAAGCGATGACTTAGTCGAGGGAAATGAAAACCCTCACTTTGAAGTTGGCGTCGGTTGGTGCATCCCGACTGCATCCCTGGGGTCCTAAGGACGATGAGCATGTTTTATTGGACACACTTGCTGCTAGAGCGAAGAGCCGGCCCCAGTGACGCTTGTGTTGTTGCTTTCTCAATCCTTTTCTCTTTTAGATTCCCCTCCAATTCCGATCTACGAATTACATCATATTATATATAACATTATATTACCTGCTTTGGAGTTTTGTAGTGTACCTCTTTTGCATCTTACCTTCTTTATGGTGACACATTCGCTGAGGTGTTTCTCACCCTCAACTAACGCGTACTGGTGCTGATGACGATAACTTCACCTGCATATCCAAAACTGATATCAGGAAAATTGTTCTACACAAGCCCGTCTTCCTCTACCGATCGCATGATGAGTCTTTTAAAGGCGTTGGGTATTAGTGCTGTTGTCAGTATACCAAACCATTTGTCTGCTGTTTCAGGGTAACTCCATTTCCCTTTAAGATGGGACTTAAATAAAACAGCCGCATTAGAGCTCGAAGAGTATTGGTAGATCTAGCTGACTGGCCTTATCATTTGGTGACATCGGCGAATAGCTAATGATTACTTAGTTCTCCCACTCCGTGGATCACTTGGTGTATCCGTGCACTTACGTATTCAGACAACCGAAAATCGTATTTCGACACGCAACTTGTAGGTGACAATGACGAATTGTACCAATTTAAGCCATCGCCCATTTTGATGGCATAACGGTAACTGATACCAGAGAGGAAACTGATGTATGCAAATAATTGAAAATAACCACAGGATCAATCTCGCACACAAAAGGTTTAATGTTGCAAAAATAAAAACACGAACTCTTCTTCGTCTCTCGAAAAGACAAGGGAGTTGGAGAGGAGAGGAGATAGGAGTGAGGACAACTAAGAAGACATAGTGAGTGTGAGACAGAACAACACGGACGAGGCTAGGATGTGATGCGGATGCCGAACGAATGAAAAGGACGGTGGAGTGATGCGGAGTGAGCGATAAAAATTGCGGGAACCGTGGAAGGCAAGTAGGGGCAAGATAGTGAAGTGAGCGGACAGAGAGGACGAGCACATTATCAAGTTACCTGTGCAATGTGAGAGCTTCCTGAAACCTCCACAGCAAAACGTTCCCACAGTTGAAACCACTACTTTTGACTGCAGAACATCATCTTATACAGTCGGTAAACTGCTTTCACTGATGACTGCGATAGTAAAAATACTAACCACGCGGACGACTCGGGGTTCGTGCGGATCGTGATGTTGACACGGTAGTGGTATCTACCTGAGCTGGCGCTTTCCATCCTCGACCGCTGATGCTGGCTTTAACAACCGGATTCACATCGATCCCAATCTCCGTGTCATGAGCCCATTCACCGACAAGTTTACATTGGTCCGGTTTCTTCACACTTAACGCCCGTCCTGGAGCCATGTCATTTGCCCATGTTTCCCACGGCACAATGATCTGTTTCGGGGGGACTAGCAGTTTTGGCTTATCTGCTGGGTTATTCGGATACCAGATTAGTGATTGAGCCGCATTGCAATGTGGTGGGCTCAATGCAGACAATGGCAAAGGTCGGTTGGTTTCCAAAATGATTGGTTGTTCATCCTGAACATCGTAGATCCTTTGTAGACGCTTTCCTATAGGTTGATGAGGGTCAAAAGTCATATGTAACCCGTATCGCCAGCGCATCGTTTTCAGAATGTACACTTCATCGTGTTTCGCATTAAATACATCACAAGATGCTGAGCGGCTGCTTGCGCGCTTGATTGCAACCAACCAAACCCAAAAGTCTTGTTTTCTGATGACGTCTGTTAGCTTAGCCCCACCGTAGTAAGGCAATTCCCAAGCAACCGTAGGATAAAAGTGATCCTCGTAGGTCAGGGACACAAGGCTATCCGACACAACACCACGACGAATTTCAAACTTGCTGCTAGTTAAACTATAAAAGGGGTATTGCCGCCCGTCACTGTCGTTGACCATTTTGTGTCGGCCACTTTTTAACGGATGGAACTCCCAAAAGGAACTGCCACTATGGCCGTAACGATTTTCCAAATACATTCTATCACAAGCTTGTACCAAACCAATACTCCAACATCGGTCAGCGATACATTCACTGATTTCCAATTGGACTTTACATCTGAAATGTTGACTTTCATATTTAAGCAAATTTGTCATTTCTGTCGTGTTGGTGAATGTTTTATTGTCATAATAGGCTCGGATCGAAGCCACATTAATTTGTTCAGGTGATAGTTTGGCCATTGTAATGTCTCACTCGCCCACTCCAGCCTGATCAACTCTGGGTGCGCCCGGCCTTAAGGCGCTCAGCAGTTCAAATCACGCAATCACTAGGTGCGAATCGATGGCATGTCACAGTCAGCTGAAGTGACGGATTAATATGGCAATGGGAGGTGGGATGATAAAGGCATTACTGCGGTAAACTGTGATCCTTGGAATTGTGTCTAGCTCAAATAGTGACGGAGTACTCCGTGTGCCCCTAAGGAAAACGAGGCAGTTATTCCCCATTTAGACTGCCACCTGCCCATAGCGAAGCCGAGTATTAAGAAGTGCTACGAAAACCGAATGGGATAATCATCCTAAACTGATACTGGATTGGCAGCGTCATTCATCTTTAGTCTGCACAACGGAGGGTAGCTTGGCTACCTTCGCAGGATAGTGCAAGTAAAGCAAGGAAAATATCTAGCAAAAGAAGTCTTACAAAACAGTATCTTTGCTTTAACATTAGTGTTGCCTGGAAACACCTTGCTTCAAGCAATCAGAAAGACGAAAGAGCGTGAAATATTGCCCTTATGGACCAAGAAATGAGTCCAAATAATAGCCCGAACCTCGGAACTTTGGTAGTAATATATCATACTGTCACTCAATATACATGGTAGTGCGCAGTTTATTATTCACTATCTAGACACAAGGAAGCTAGCCTGAAAGCGTTATAAGCTAGAAGAGTTTCTTGAGAGCCAATTGCAGTTGGTATACTGCATTGTGATTCAGTCTGATTCCCGTCGGACGCTCTGAATCGCTCAGCGATGGAGGCATGTAAGTATGGCCTGTGTTTCACGCCAGGCGAATATAAAATACTACACCAGGACTGGCAGATGCCTGCTCCTGCCCTCACCATTGCTGGAGACGTTCTGGATCAAGTCCACTGTTTCACTTATATTGGGAGTTGCATCACAGCTGGCGCCTGTTTTGGAGATGAGGTCTCAAAACGGATCGGGAAGGCCCGTATTGCATTCATTAGACTGAGACACTTATGGCGCCATTGCAAAGTCAGTCAAACTCAAGGGCAGGGTATACATTGCCCCTGGCCGTGCGGTCCTCTTGTACGGTTGTGAGAACTGGCCTACTCGCTCGGAAGACATTACACGATTATCAGTTTTCGACAAACGTTGTCCGCGCAGGATTGCTCGCCTGTGGTAGCATCATTACTTGAGTAAAGCAGAGGTCCGAAAGCATGTGTTTGGAACAAACAGCCTATGCCTGCAAACCTTTATTCTCCGACACCATATGCGTTGGCTCGGTCAGGTAATGCGCATGCGGCCTATCGCCTTCCTCATCGAACGTTATATGCATTCCCCGGAAGCGATTGGAAAGTGCCGCGGTGGACAATCAATGATGTAGAGAAAGAGCCTGAATAATGCAGTCTCAAACTTAGCATTCGTCGGACCGGCCTGCCTTCCAGGATGGGGACCCCATCGCAATGAGGCGGGACCTTAGCGTGGTACGATGGTTTGTGTGCCTCAATGATCCACTGAGCTATGCTGGGTGGTGCTTTTGCACCTTCAGAGTCACTCATACCAGATTGGTCAATGGTTAGAGACCAGCCAAACTCAGCCTCCTGGTTCTCCAGGTTGGGGGTTGGAATGAGGGTGGCACCTTATTCCTCAAAACAAACTCCTTGTAGCCCAACTCCAAACCCGCTGCCTTGCGGTAAGGTATTTGAACCAAAAGCTTTGGTTGAGAACCCTAATCCTTCTGCGGTCTAAGCCTGGGCAAGCTGACAATATCCTGCCCACGAACTGCAATGAATTTTTCCTCAAACAGTTTCTTGATGCCCTGGCCACCACAGAGGTAAATCAACGGTGCCTTATCCGCTGCATCGAGCAGGGTGGATAGGGGGTTGGGAGGCTACTGCTCAAGCCTTCCCATCTTTTTATTCCCGCTCTTATGCTTTTTCACTCTTACCGTCCCGTTACAACTTCACTTTTATCCCCGAGTTTTTAACCATCTGAATCTTGGCTCTCCCCCAACATGCTTTGCTAGACGTTATCTTCTAATTTCAACTCACATGCTAAGACGGAAGGTCACTCCTCTCCTGTCGACAAGCCAATGTCCGACCAAGCAGTCCATTCCAGTTCATCGGCTTCCATTTGGAGCCCACGATCCTCCTTCAGATTGGCATGCCTCAATGTACGCACATTGCTACAGATCGGTCAACAGGCAGCACTTGCCCGAACATTGGAGACCCTCTCGATCGACATCTGCTGCTTATCGGAGACCCGCCTGCAAGACCCGAGCTCTGTGCTCTCCCTCGATACTCTTCAAGTGACGCGAGCAGTATTTTTTCATTGCGGCTATCCGGTGACGATGCAGCGTCGAACACCTGCCAAGCTGGTGTTGGCATTGCCCTGAGTCCCCGGGCCGATGCTAGTTTGGTTGATTGGATTCCAATCAGTGGCCGGATGTGTGCGGTCCGACTGGCTGGCTCGTTTAAAGCTTCAAAGTCGCGCTGGACTAATAGATGTCTATTCATCATCGCTGCCTACGCGCCCACAAACTGTAGCGATGATTTGGTAAAGAACGTCTTCTACCTCCAACTGACCCAGCTCCTTCACCACAGAAGAAGCACGGACACTGTTGTGCTGGCGAGGGATATGAACGCACAGGTTGGAAAGTTGTCCACTGATGAAACGCATCTGGGCGGTCAGCACGGTGTAGGCTCCCGTAATGATAACGGTGAGCGGTTACTTCATTTGTGTGAAGATGCTCGCTTATTTCTTGCGAGCACTAATTTCCGACACAGCACCCGCCGGAGGGTGACTTGGCGCCCACCAGCCTCGAACCAGCCTTGGACGCAAATCGATCACATTGCTATTAGTTGCCGCTGGAGAGGCTGCATCCAGAACTGTCGCTCGATTTGGAGCACATATGTGGACACCGATCATGCACTTGTATGTGCTGACATGCGGATGCGTTTTGACGGACGCCCACGACGACGCTGTGAGCGCATTGACACCAGCCAACTTACAAAGCCAGCTGTTATGAATGCGTATCGAAGTACGCTGACATGCGAGTTGAGTAATCTCTCACTGGAGACAACTGATGGTCACTGATCACATGTTCACCGGAAGACACTAGCAGCAGGCAAATCCTCATGTGATATGTCTAATAGCCAACAAGGATATTGGGTCTCTTCGCGGTCTCTGGAACTTATCGATGCTCGCCGGCATATCCCGGCTGGAAGCGAACACAATGAAACTCGCAAAGAGCTCCAGGCAAGACGTCCTGCTAGCCTGAAGAGAGACTGCGAATCTTAGTGGTCTCATCATGGGTCAGAGATGGAAGTGGCCGCTGCCCTTGGCAACCATCCTACGTTATTCCGTCTGGTACGTGAAACGGGCAGCAGAAGATTTGGTGTTAGTGAAACTATACGTGACGAGAGTGGACAGCCTATCCACAATTTGTCAAAACGTTTGGAGCGTTGAGCTGAGCATTTTGAAAAGCAATTTAATCGGCTAGAATTGTTTGATCCTTCGCCGGCCAGTGATCGCCCTGCTCCGTGGGTTGTCCCGTTGTATACACCCTCTCGCTCAGAAGTCGAACATGAGATCGGACTGCTGAAGTTAAACAAAACCGCGGAACCAGATGATCTTCTTCCAGCCCTCTTCAAATTCAGAGACTTTATTATTGTTGATGCTTTACATGAATTACTAGTGAAAATGTGGGAGCAGGAAACTGTCCCAACCGACTGGAGCCGCTCCGTTATAGTTCCCATCTTCAAAGGAGGCTCGCGTTCGGAATGCAGCAACCATAGAGGGATCAGTCTGATCTCCATCGCCTCCAAATTACTCGCCTCAATAATCATTCCCAGACTGACTGGCACTCGTGAAAGCCAGATTCGTGAGGAGCAAGCCGGGTTTCGTCGGGGTCGTGGCTGCATCGACCACATCTTCACCTTGCGTCAGTTGTTGGAACACCGTCACACATATTGGCGGCCCACCGTTGTCGTGTTCCTCGACATCAAAGGTGCCTTCGATTCGGTTGATCGATATGCCCTTTGGAATTGTCTACTCAGGAAAGGTGTGCCCGAGAAATATGCAAATAGTATCCGAGCATTATACGCGCGTAGCTCGGGCAGAGCGAGGGCTTACGGCAAGCTGTCGCCACCCTTCAATATCTCCAGTGGTGTGAGACAAGGATGCCCGCTGTCACCTTTCCTCTTCAACTTCGCTATTGACGAAGTCATGGAGATCGCGTTCACAGGACATGACTTGGAAGATGTGGATCGGCTCTCAGGAGAACGACTTTTTGACTTAGAGTATGCAGACGACATTGCCCTCATTTGTGACATCTCCCAGACGTGCGAAGCCGCGATGGACAGACTAGCACTTGCTGTCGGCCGCTTCGGATTTGCTTTGCACCATCGAAATGCAAAGCATTCCTCCAAGATTGGCAGGGATTGCCTCCTGCGCTGACCCTTGGTGGGGATCAGCTAGAAGTCGTTCGGAAATCCAACTACCTAGGAAGTTGTATCAGGGCCTTTGGGGATGGAAAGCATGCGATTCGGACTGTCAGTATTTAGAAGCGTTGGAGGCTATGATGCGCAACGGCATCAGTGGAGACAGTGCCGTTCAACCGCGTTATCTATTAGTTAACGTTTCATCGAACACAAAACTTCTAAACACACGAATGATTCCAACACGGCTGTATAAAACAGAATATATTTATCCTCCTACATTGTATTCCGTTTCACCTCTTTATTTCGACATGGTTCTGATATCACATTTTCTGTAATCACATTATACATATATATATATATGTCTTTTTAAGCTGGATAAATTTCATTCCACTTTATTTGGTTTGTTCTGCCTATCTGAATAATCATCTATTAACTGGCCACGTTGCTTACGCTAATTGCGCTTACCTTCCTTAACTTTGTTGTTTTTGTAGCATTTTAAGTAACTTGTGGACATTTTAACTTATCGCGGTTTTGTTGCTAACCAACTTACTTCATATGTTTATTTAACGCAGAGTTAGGTCACCGTAACTGTATGCATTATTCGATTTATTTTATTTCATTTTGTCGTTTCAAGTGATTGGCTGTTGCTTGATATCCCCGGTGTGGC